GTTTCTCCCGTCGCCGATCTTGGTGTAGTCTGGTATGACCACAAGACGTTCGGGAGCTCCTCCGGCCAGGCCCCTTTCGAGCTTTCCAGTCGTACCTTCAAACCTTGTTTAATAATTTTGTTGATCGCCTCTACTTGCCCATTTGACTGCGGATGGTAAGGGGTAGAGAAATGATGTCGAATCCCCAGCTCTTCACAAAACGTGCCGAATTTCTTTCCCTCAAACTGCCGTCCGTTATCAGTCACCACAGAATGAGGAATACCAAATCAGCAAACGATTGATTTCCACAAAAAGTCGACCATCATCTGCTCGGTTATCGTGGCCAAAGGTTCGGCCTCCGCCCATTTAGTAAAGTAGTCGACTGCTACGACCGCGTATCTGACTCCTCCCTTTCCTGTTGGTAAGGGTCCGATTAAGTCGATTCCCCACTTGGCAAACGGCCAGGGGCTGAAAACTGAGGTAAGCGGATGAGCCGGCTGCTTTAAGTTGGGGGCAAACGTTTGGCACTTAACACACCTCCTGACTAGGTTGAACGCGTCCCTTTTCAGCGTGGGCCAGTAATACCCCTGTCGTAGTATCTTGTGCCCAACGCTCGTCCCCCCGAATGGTCTCCGCATACGCCCTCGTGGACTTCTCTCATGACTCGTTCGGCTTCTTCATCGTCCACACATTTGAGCAATGGATTCGAATAGCCCCTCTTGTATAACATTTCTGCCATGATCGTGTATCTTGCTGCTCGGATCCTTAATGACCGAGCATCCTTGAGGTCTGCGGGGAGTTCTCCCTTCTCCAAATACGATCGGATCGGATCCATCCATCCGGATGTTGTGGCACCGACCGACTCTTCAATCCTCATGATATGCTCGACCTGAACGGCCGGCCTCTCCTGATGGCGAGTGTAAACGTACTCAATTTCATCGGTTCCTCTGTTGGATGCCAACCGTGCGAGCGCGTCCGCCTGGGCATTCTCTGACCGGGGGACGTGCACGGGTTGAATGGTTGCTCGCGCTATCTTCTTTCGAGCTAGGTGTAAATATGGCACCAGGCGGGCTTCCTTTGTCTCGAACTCCCCTGAGATTTGCTTTACTAACAACATTGAGTCAGAGTATGCTTTTAAATTCGTGATGTTCATCGAGTGGGCCAAGTCCAGGCCGGATTATAGTGCCTCATATTCTGACTCGTTATTGGTCGCGGTAAACAGATACCGATCCGTCTATATACATATCCCAAGTTTCTGTAGTTTGGACTGGTTCGGCTCTCGTTGTGAACTCAGCTATGAAGTCAGACAATGCTTGTCCCTTTATCGCCATCCGTGGTTTATATTGGAGATCGAACTGCCCAAGCTCTACGGCCCACTTGATCATTCGTCCCGACGTATCAGGCTTGTGGAGAATTTGTCGAATAGGATAGGCTGACAAGACGGTCACCCGGTGTTCAAGGAAATACGGCCTGAGTTTCCTCGAAGTCGTCACTAGGGCGAAGATTAACTTCTCGATCTGTGGGTAACGGACCTCAGCTTCATGTAATGCCTTGCTTGTGTAATAGATCGGATGTTGATTCAAATTCTCCTCCCGAACGAGTACGGCGCTTATCGCGGTCGGGGTAACTCCGAGATATAGATACAACATCTCTCCAGGGTTTGGCTTTTGGAGGACCGGGGGCCGAATGAGTGACTCCTTGATGTTGTCCAGCGCGTGTTGGCATTCGTCCGTCCATTCGAATTTTTTATTCTTTTTAATAGCCTCGAAGAAGGGCTTACATTTGTCCGTGGACTTTGATATGAATCGGCTTAAAGCCGCTAATCTACCCGTTAGACTTTGCGTTTCTCTTATCGACCTAGGGGGTTTTAGTTCGAGTATTGCTTTAATCTTGTCGGGGTTCGCTTCGATTCCCCTTTGACTAACTATGTATCCTAAAAACTTACCCGAACCTACCCCGAATGTATATTTTTTGGGATTTAACACCATGGAGCAATCACGCAAAATAGAAAACATTTCATTAAGATGTGACACATGATCGTTCACAAAAACAGATTTAACAAGCATATCATCCACGTAAACTTCCATAGTTCGTCCGATTTGATCTGCAAACATCTTATTCACGAGCCTCTGATAGGTTGCCCCAGCGTTCTTGAGACCGAATGGCATCATGGTGTAGCAATAGAGTCCTCTGGCCGAATAGAAAGATGTGTGCTCCTCATCATTCGGGTTCATCGGGATCTGGTGATATCCCGAATAGGCGTACATGAAGCTCATGAGTTCGTGTCCGGACGTTGCGTCTACCATGTAATCGATGCTGGGCAACGGATAACTGTCTTTGGGGCAGGCCCGATTGAGATCGCTGAAGTCAACGCATAGTCGCCACGTTCCACTGCTCTTCTTTACCAGGACCGGATTAGATAACCAAACTGGGTACTTGGCTTCGCGAACGAACCTGTTGTCAATCAGCTTTATTACTTCCCCCTCGAGCGCTCCTTGTCGTTCTGGTCCCAACTTCCTTCTTTTCTGCACGATTGGCTTTACCGTTCGGTCAACCCGACGGCTATGGCATGCTAAGTTTGGATCGATCCCCACCATATCTTCATGCGTCCAGGCGAAGACATCTACGTTTTCGATTAGAAAAGCAATTAACCTGGACCGGATGGGTTCGCCAATGTTCCGTCCGATGCGCAATGACTTAATGCAGGCTGGTTCATCAAGATAGATCGTCTCTGTGTCTTCGCTTGGTTCGGCCCGTTCGGGTTTCTTTCCTTTGAATTGATCTCGGGGGTCCAGTTCATCTTTTTCTTCGATTGGTTCCTTCCCTGGTCGGCGTCCCCGGTCTATCGTTCGATCCTCCTCTTCGCACGGATCGTTCTCCTCTTGGGTGGATTGATCGGTCTCCGATTCTTTTTCGCCCTGTCTGTCTCTCAGGGGTGAAAGTGTGTTTGCGCTTGATGACGTCGGCATAGGGTACTTGTCTTCCTCTTCTGGGCCCTCGATCGGTTCTTCCCTCATCCTCTTTCGTCCGTTCGTGTATCCTTTGGCCGCACTGTTGTCTGGCCGTTCGGACGAAACTTCCTGCTCGTCTGACCGCTTGGGCTCTGCAACTGGCTCGTCGATCAATTTCTCCTCCTCGTTCGCCATCATGACCGAGTGTATTTTTAATGACGGGATCGCCATGATGCACTCCCTTGCTTCCCTTTGGTTGCCGTAGTGGACTCCTGTGCCATTCTCAGTTGGGAATTTGACCGAATAGTGGAAGATTGATACGGCCGCCTTTAGCTTGTATAAGGCCGTTCGCCCGAGGATGGCGTTGTACTCGCTGGCTGTTTTCACCACTTTGAAAGTTTCCATGATCCTACGTCCGTTTGCTCCTGATCCCCCGAGCTCGATTGGTAATGTGATTTCTCCTTCGGGAATGGTTGCTTGTCCGTTGAATCCAGTTATGCGGTCGTTGCAGGGCGCAGTTCGCTTTGGTCTATCCCCATTTTAAGGAACGCGGTCCAGTATAAGATACTTGAGTACGCCCCCGTGTCCACCATGATTCGGTGGACTGGGATTCGGAAAATGGGGGTTGTGATTACGAGCGCATCTGAGTATGGATTATCAAACGGGAGAGAATCTTCATCCGAAAACATTATTAGATTTGTGGGCATGGGGATGTGTCGGTTGACCTCCACTCGGCTGACTTGGTGTCCTGTGCTGTATGCTTTTCGGACGTATGCCTTGACCTGTCTTCTTGACACGCTCGAACTTTCTCGGCTCGTATTGACCCTTGTGGGCGGTCCGCTTCTTCGGATTGGGATGTGAACCGAATGCTCCTCGTCTCGTCTGGACGCTGTCCTTTTCCTTCCCCCAGATGCGCTCGTCTCGCCTCGTTGCTCCTAACTGATCGTCAAGATTTCATTGTGGTGTTCGTTCGCTCTCCGGGGATTCAGTCCGAAATCGGGCTCGTCTCCTGGGTTCATTCGTTCATCGTTTCTTGGCCTCCGGTTGCCTGCATCCATCCTAGTAACCTCCTTACCTGCGGATCATCAATTAGTTTCAATAAGGCAGATATTAAGTTCCGACACTGGTCGGTATTGTGGCCATGCGCTTTGTGGTAAGCACAATATCGGCTTTTGTCTAGATTTTCTTCATCGGCCCTGATCGGTCTGGGGTCTGGGATGATCCCCTTGTTCTTCAACTCTTCATACACTACGGCCGCGTCGGCCGAATACACCCCCTGGTAGCTGTTCGTGAGTTCCTCGTGATGTTTTCTCTGCATGGCTCGGAATTGGGAGCTTCTTCCGTCCTTCACAAACTCCTTGTTCGGTCGGGACTCCTTTGCTTTGGCGATTTGCTCGTTCAGGGCTGGGAACGACGGGACGGACATGTTTTCTTCTGCCATGATATGTTGTTGAGCTTTCATCAAAAATTCGTGATACGTCTGAGGTTTGTTCTGGCAGAGGGTCCATTTGAACATCGAGTTTGGTCTCAGTCCTGAATATGCCGAAACGAGCAGGGTCTATTAATGACACGGTTCCATGTTTTGTACACGTTCGTTGAAACGAGTGATGTAATTCTTCAAACTCTCGTCTGCTCCCTGGATAATGTGAGTGATCGATTCTTTGGGAATTCGGCACGCCTGGGATCCGATGAAGTGGGTTCGGAACATGGACTTTAATTGTGACCACTTAGCGACCGAATGTGGGGCGAGCGAATGGTACCATCTTTGTGCTTTTTCTCCCAGAGTTAATGAGAACATCCGGCAGCGGAGGGCGTCCGGTGCTCCGTGCAGGTCCATCCATGACGTGTATAATCCTAGGTGGGTGTCCAGGTCAGATGTTCCGTCATAAAATCAAATCTGCGGGATCTTGATCTTCTCAGGCAGCTGTTCCTGCAAAATATCAAATGTTAGGGGTGATTCGGGTTCGGCTGGGCTGGATTCCGTTCGTGCCCTTGAGGCTGTCGTGGCTCGTTTGAGAGGGACTTCCGTCAGATCCTGTCAGGTGAAGACTAGTTGTTTTTGGGCCGAACGCCGAGCTTCGAGTTCGGCTATTCTTCTTTGGAGGCTCTTCATTTCATCTTCTTCGGCTTGAGTCGTTCGCCTTCTGGTCAATGTTCTTCTCAAGTCGTCGTCGGCCACGTTTTTTCCCAGCCGTCTGAAAACCGACCGGGTGGTGTTTCGGGTTCGAGTATCCGTGACCGAGCGACTTTCGTCCGTCTGTTCATTTTCCGTCCGGGTGGTGGATTTTTCCTTCGTGCTCCCGGGTGATCGGGTGGTTTCTTCGCGAACGTTTGTTTCCTTGCCCTTGAGGGTGTTGGTAAGGTCTTTTTTGGCTGAGGTTTTGGGTGCTTGAGACGTAGAGGGCCGGGTCTGTGTTATCAGGTTTGATATTCCCTTAACAAAGTTTGGGTCTTTGAAAAAGGCTGAATAGTCCGTCCTCGTGGTTGGGTTGTTTCGCCGATCTTCCCTTTCTTCCGATGAGTCTCGCCGGCGACTCTGGCTTGATGATGATGCAGTTGTCTTTGACATGCTGGAATAGCCCTTCCTCTAGCGCCAATTGTTGATGTCTAAAAATGACCAAAAATGTGTTCGAACTGTACACTAAGATGTGTACTCTGTTCGGTCTGCACGAATAGTATTTGTGTTTGTGATTCGGTTTTATTTTACTGGTCTGAATGCTCAGTCTATCCGTGACTTATTGAGTAATTAATGAGAGCATTTACTCATTGTATTAAATGATGTCCTCCCCTCCCTTTTATAGGAAGTTTAGGGACTTTACATTTCCCTCTTGGGGATTTTTACATTTCTTTTTGCAGGATATTTTTAGATATTAGTCATTCAACATTTAATGCTAATTGTACTTGGTAATCTTTTCCCAATATCTGAGAGTCGTCCGGATCGTGCCACGCGTCCCTATTTTTCCTTTGCCATCGGATAAGAGATTTTCCTGTATCTCCGCATTTAATGCGCGCTGTACGGCTGGCTCTCGTAATGATTAAACAGATCTCACTTATTCTCTCCCATCCGTTCGGCAGCGGTACGATCCCGGGGGCATCCGGTTCCCTTTCTTTTCTTACTGCCATCCGTTCGGTCTGTACCACCAACAAAACCCTAAACCAATAATTGATTTTATATCCTATGATATAATAGTCTATTCTTTAAATTACCGTTCATAATGTATAAAATGGCCATTGTTATATTTTTTAATAAGTAGTTTTCTTCTATTGTCAATCAATTTCACATTAAACCATATTTATCTACATACCTTAACTCATAATCCACATTTTATATAAGATTGAGCTTGGACATTATTATATTTTTTAATAAGTGGTTTTCTTCTATTGTCAATCAATTTCATATTAAACCATATTATCTACATACCTTAACTCATAATCCACATTTTATCTAAGATTGAGCTTGAACATTATTATATTTTTTAATAAGTGGTTTTCTTCTATTGTCAATCAATTTTATATTAA